GGGCCGGCCCGACTGCCCGGGCGGGGCCTGAGGCAGGCTCCCCAGGGGCCTCGCGCGCCTCCCCGGAGTGTCTGGGCCTGCGGGCGTCGTGGGTGGCACTCAGATCCCCTCACCTACCTCGGGGCGCTGCGCCGGCCCCGAGCTGCACACGGCTCCTGCACCCTACCCAACTCGAGCCCCAACCCCGGCGGCACCTGGCCCGGCTGAGGCCTGTCCGACCGCCCCGCCAGCCCCGCTCGGGCCCGCGTCAGTCCCGACCTCCATCTTAGGTTACAGCCCGGCTCCCCATCCACTGGGCACCTGCCCTCAGCCCGCTCAGCTCGGCCCGAGGCCAAGGCAATCCCCCCCTCCTACCGCGGGGCTCACCTGGGGGCTTGGGCTGGGGTCTTCGAGGCCTCAGGCCCCGAGCAGGCGCGGCCGCAGGTGAACCCCCTGCCCGGCCGCACCCCAAACCCACACCACCACCACCACAGACCAAGCTGAGCAGGAAACAAAATGGAGGCAGCAGCTCGGGTCTGCCTCCCCGAGCCAAGCTTGTGCAGCCTCAGGGCTCCCTCCTGCCGCAGGCCCGACGCCCGCGAGGCAGGGGGCTGGCTCGTCCCGGGCAACACAGGCAGCCGCCCTAGAGCAGCGCAGACAGGCCGGGGACTCGGCCCTGCGGTCCCCACAGCCCCTCACCCACCACCCTTTCCCCTCCCCCCCATTTCTCTCCCTCCCCCTGCCCGGCCTTGCGGGGTGAGCGGCGACCGGGAGCCGGGTCGGGTCGAGTTACCCGCCCGGGCACTGCTTGCCCGGCCGTGGCCTCGGCCGGGGGATGAGGCCAGGCGACCCCCGCGCTGAGCCCACCCCCCGCACCGGAGCCGGGCAGCAGCCTGACAGCGCGCCCGCACCTCGGCCTGCCGCCGTGCGGCCCCCGCCCTGTGAGGCCGTGTCCCCAGCCCGGGCACCGCCGGGACGAAGCTCCCTCACCACCCCCGGGCCCAGGGGTCCTCGCTGCCTCGGGCGGGGCGAGGGGCGCGCTGGGGGGAGGGGTCCACTAATCCCTGCACCGCCTCCCGCGCCTAGTCTGGGTCTGGGCCTGGCACCGGGACTCGGGCCGCGGGCGCGGGCGGGCGTCAGTAGGTGTGTGCGCGCGGGGCAGGGGACGCGGGCTGGGGGCCCGGAGGGGCCGCGCCTCGCACCGCGGACGCTGCAGTTCTCCGCACCCAGGCAGATGGCCCTCTCGTGCCACAGCCGCCCAGCGCAGGCCGCCGGCTCCGCAGCCCTGATCCCCCGGGAGCGCGCGCCTCGCCCCTGCGAGCCGGGCTTCGGGACCCCGGCGGAACTGCGTTGAGAGGGCGGACCGCCGGGCTGGCCCAGCAAGGTCTAACCGCCTAATCTTCGGCCCGGTGCTGTCTGCTCCCAGGGCGCCTTGGACCTCGAGGCCTGCACCCAGCGCCCCGGGCCCCACAGCCCTGGCCTAGAGCGGCCGCGATGCGTCCAATCATCAAAGGCGGTGCAAGGACAGGTCAAGGAACCCAAACCCAGCCTCACCCCGGGACTCCGGCCCCCTAGGCCCTTCCCCCAATTCGGTCTGACTCCGTCGCCCCCTGGGCCTGTACCCCGGCAAAAAGCTCACCGCGGCAGCTAGCTGTTACCAAAAATGCTAAGGGCATCCTCGCTGTTCAGAGAAAACCACGATCTACCGCCATAAAAATCCCGCCTCCTCCAGAAAGCCTTCTGTGATTAGAGTTAACTCCATCTCAAAGCTGAGGGCACCGCCCTCGAGAGCCACGTGACCACCATTCCTCCCTGGGCTTAGTAAATGTGCATAATTATTGCCCCAGTGGAGTGTTTACCCGCAGCCCTTCTATCTGTTCGCCGTGAACCCACTTGGGAGAAAGGCCACTTTTGGTCTTGCCCTACACGGTATTGGCACGGGGATCCCTAAACTCCACCCTTCAGCCTTTCCCGTCCTTCACCCCGAGATTGGTCCGGATAGGCTAGGAGCTCAGGATGCCCCTAACCTCCTACTCTCCAAGGCCCACAGACCAGCCATGGAGGCACACAAGTAAACACAGGCTTAGCACACCCTAAGTGCTGGGATGCAGGCCCTGCCAAGACAACAAGCAGACTTTCTTGAAGGGTAGATTCCGCCCCTGGACCCAGAGTAATGCCCCCCCTCCAACTATGACCCCAGGGGGCCTCTGAGGTACTCTGAAGGTTCCCAAGTGCAAAGTAAGGTTGGCAGTGTTCTGTGCACTAGGACCAGCCAGAGAAAAGCTGGGTCTACACCCCAGGGTCCCACCCTACAGGGACCAGCCCTTGTTCTGCTAAGGAGAAACTCCTGCCAACCCCTTCTGGGCAATTCAGTGGGGAAGCTTTGACTGTTCCCTTCTTCACACCTAATAATTTGAGTTAAGCATTTCTGACTGACAATTACACCCTGCCAATTGCCCCAATTCATCAAGGCTCCTCTCAATCTTTTACTTTCCCACAGACCATCCTGAGGGCCTCAGAGCTGCCCCTGTTTGGCCTTGAGCCAGTCACTTAATAGCCCCAAGCCTCAGTTTCCTCATCTGTGGCTTCTAATGCACAGGGTGGTGTGAGGTTTCTCTAAGGTAAAGGTAAGTTTTAGGGGCCTGTACAGACTAACTAAGCACCTGATGAATCCTGAAATGTAATTCATTGCTTCATTCGGCAACCATTTCCTGCATTCTGGGCAATACGCTGGGTGCTGGGAAAACAAGGATGAGATGCCTGCCTCAGGAAGCCCCAGGCCTCCAGAAAGGACAGTTAAATAAAGGTGCTAAGGTATGAAGACGTGCTGGGATAATGGTTACTCCCAGAGCTGACCTCTGGACATCACTGCCCTACAGGAAACCCTCTTTCCAACGTCCCAGCCCCCAAGAGAAAGAAGTAGGGGCCAAAGGGGGACAGGCAGCTGGGATGAACGGTATACTGATGGGCCTTGGGGAGGCTGGAACCCCAGGTAAAACCTCTTGGACTTCCCTGGGGTGACATCAGGGGTCTCTTCCTGCCTCTTAAGTAGAACTTGACTGCAGTGGTCTCAACTACAACAGCCCCCCTCTGGGGCCTCCGCATCTAGCAGGTTCTGGCCAAGCACCTCCTGTGGGTCAGTTCTGGGTTGAGGGGACCCACAGGACCACATATTCTCACAAGGACACTGGCTCTTGAAGTCAGGGAAGAAGGGACAGGGCTCTGTCCTACCCTCCTCGTCTTAGCTCAGGGAACTTTTATGGGCCTGTGTCTCCCAACCATAAGACAAAGATTAGAATCAAATACTTGCGAAGTCTATGCTGTATACTGGACACCGTGCTGGGTACTTGGCACACATTAGTTCCTTTAACCCTTCAGCAGCCCTGTGAAGAACTGAAGTCCAAAAGTTTAAGCTCTTCTGCAAGGTCTCAGGGCCTTAACTGTCACCTGGTGTGCTTGGCCTTGTATCTGTTGCTCTTAGCTGACACACAGATACCATCTGTGAGTGCCCAGCACAGTGCCTGCCTCACCCGTGGATGCTCAGGAATTTAAGTGTCAGGCAGTGAGATTACCTTAGCCTCAGTTTCCTCATCCGTGAATTATGGTTACTGATAATTCCTACGCTGCTGAGATAGATACTTGTCAAGGCATTTGGCCAGTGTACAGTGACCCCTTTTTTCTTAGAACTGCCCCCCCTTTCATTCATTCATTCAGC